GCTCGCCGGCAGCGGTGGCGCCGGGCAGGTGGGACGTGGGGTCACCACGGACAAGGCGATTATACCGATTCCGTTCGCCGTCCTGCGTACGGGCACGGACATCAATGCTCGTTTCCACCAGCCCTTTTCAAAGGCTGGACTGAGAGATTTCCACGCTTTCCAAATTCCTTAACATCTGCGTTTAGCCCCGCTTTCCCTCCCTTCCTCTTTATTACTCTGCTTGTCGGTTACCTGCTACCATGTGCTATAAAACCGGCCTTTCTCTGGCTCATCACCGCTTGACTCTTGCTGTGCACATCCAAAAGCCGCTGCCTCTGTGCACCGCTGCAAAGTGCTGATGCCAACTACCGAGTCGCAACTGCTCTGGAGACCCACACGAAGAAACTCCTGTGCGACGACGCCAACTTTAAGCCCCGGACTAAAGGACGTACGACATCTAACCTCGAGATCTGCAGCTTGCTCTCAGAAACGTGGATGCTCGGGGCTAAAACACCCCCGGGTCTAAGGATTAGGAGATTTTTATGTGCTCCAACGTTACCTTTTGATGGAGCCGCACAGGGAAAGGCTCCGCTCACCACGTACTTGAGCTCCTCTCCTCACGATCTCTTCCATCGACCGGGACCGAACGATCAACCCCACGCTCCACCTGCATCTCGGTACGTACCGCTTTCCACATGAAAGACAAGCAAGGCCGGTCAAATAAATCCGCCCACGTTGCATCCACCTAGCCTTGCGCACGGAACGGTTTCAGGGTACGTTACCCCACCGCAGCCTCGTAGAAGCAGTATGAACAAACATCTTTACATGCAGAAAGGAGACAAACCGACCCAGCGCTTCCTCCTCTGCTCAGCGTTCCCAGTTACCAAAGGCCCCTCTTTCAAACATCTTTTGTCCTTAACAGAGAACTACGCTGCTCCTCTTAAAAGGTAGTGAGGGGACTATTTTTTTTTTTAAAAAAAATCAGAGTTTTCTGCTGAAATGCAGCTCTCGACAACTCTCTGCCAGTCCTTTACCAACCAACTACTCCACTGTGCTTTGGACCATCTGATTTTAAGTGTCTTACCAGGACAAAACTTCTGACGCTTCCCTCGACTACCCCGTGACCTCTCTGCTGGGATATCGGCCCTTCGTTTGCACGGCTGCTACCAGTAACATTCGGGAGATGTTTCAGCAGCGATCTTCAGGCGAGTGCTTTTAAACATGACTTGTCCTAAGCTGCGGTCAAAATCCATCATAAAGAATCGATCCCGAACGCTTGGCAGCCCGCGCCAAGGCAGGTAACTAATAGACTTTGATGCCAGCTTGATGTATTTATTTTGCAGGACTAATAGAATTTATGGAAGGAAAAATCTAATACCCAAATTCAATTCTGGATTTCAATCCACAGCCTCTGTAATTTGTTGCCCTTTCAGGTCACCCTACCTGAGGGTGCAGTCCAAGAAACAGCTTTGGACGGAAGATTTGCTCCGGCATCCTTGAAATGAAATTTACAGTTTAAAAATCAAAAAAATTTCCCAAGTAATTGTGACAAGCCAACAGACGGCATTTTCTAGGACAGCATCTGTTCTTTCCCGCAGAGTCTGAATAATTTAGCCAGAACTTGGACGTTCCAGTGGAACCAAGGAGCCCACGTTTAAGGAGAAACAGGACACACGATCGCTTCCTATTCAAAAATCGCTAAGCCTTCCCGTTTCCGACCTACCTCCTCTCGCCCTCTTCATTCAGACCTATTGGGAACTGCTCAGATCAATGCGAAGGAAGATTAATTCTGTCTCTCGGCCTCCTAAAACAGCGTTCAAAGGGCAATGACTCTTCGGTCATTTCACCGAGACGCGAGAGAGGGGGAATTTGCGTTCGAGGTCAGACTTCAAAGAAGGAAAATAAAAGAGGGTTGACATACAGGAGCAGAGACAGCCGTGAGCTTTACCGGCTGTTAAGTTTTAAGCTGTCTGGAAGAGAAATTTAAAGCAAACGGTCAAATTATTTCCTTTCGTAAAACAAAACCACTAGAAGCAATACAGTAAACACTAACCATGGTTAGCCCGTTACCAAGGTATTTCAGATCTGGCCATCCGCAACAGGAAGCGGTCGAGGAAAGCCTGTCACCGTCGGACGTCTGTCTTTTTCTATGCCCTCTTACCTACGAATTCAACCACTGCCCGCAGCCCCGCTTCTTCTGTCCAACCCCATTTCTAAGGCTTGCGGGCCTCACGGGCTCCGAGCGCGAAGCCAGCACAATCCCCCTGCTACCCAAAATCCGCTTCCCCACCACCTGGAACCGTTCCTACCGTTTGCTAGGAAGTGCAGGCGGAGGGCCGAGCGGCAGGAACAGCTTGCTACCGCAGAGCGCTTTGGCTCCGCTCGCTCCGAGAAGCCCTGCCAGCGGCCGCCTTCATCCAGGGAGCCGTTCCGGCATTTTTATCACCGCAGAACCATTCGCAATAATTTCTGCAAACAGCTAGATGACAAAGAGCAGCCACAGCTCTAACTGACCTGCGCTGCAGCGCGAGGACGTACTGTTATTCAGGAGTCCCGGGCGTTGGTTTAGTATCGCGCCTCCTCCTCTCCGCAAAGCTCAGCGGGATCTGGAAATACCACAAAAGACTCCGGGCACGGCTCTACATTCTCAACACCTGCACCTTCCTTCTCGCCGAAGCGGAGGTGGACGGGAAGGCGGGGAAAGGTCTCGGCAGGTTTGGCAAGGACACGGCGGGAGGAGTGAGAAACTAAGCGAGGCCGTGAATAAAGAAACGAAACGATCTGGAAGTTAAAGTGTTTATTGATGTGTTTAAACTTTGTACATTCCCCACAGACCACACTAAGGAGTTTGCAGGTAAATCTGTGCATAGTGGGAAGAGACACGGAAGGGGGAAGAAAAAATAAAGTCACAGGAAAAATAGAAAAAATACACCACAGGTTACCAGAACCTCCAGATTTAAAAAAGCCGTGAGCATTAACACCAACTATACAAGCATTACAAAGACACGATGGTGAGCGGAACAATACCCCCTTTGTTCTTCTCGGGGCCTATGCATCCAATTTCCCTTAAAGCAGGCGGTATCCCTTTCCCAACTCGTCCCTCTCTTCCCTCCCCGGTTAAAGCGAACTCCATGTTCACCAGCTCCCAAGGTACTGATTATTGCAGTGATTTGTCATTTCTGGGCAAACCCCCAAAGCCGATGCAAAGGCTCAAAAATCTGCGTCTCTTAACTACTTACCACGGTGGTGAGGCAGGAGAGCTGGGGAAAATTAGAAAGTAGTAGCAAGAGGGGGCTGTTAATGCCAGGTGAGTACTGAAGGAAACTGGTTCGGAACGGAGGATTTAAAGTCAATACCAGGAACTTCCAACTCTAGAGCAGAACTGATTCTGGAAGGGGAATGTGCAGACCCCAGTATGCACAAACCATGTTCTAACATTCCACTAGAATAACTATTAACAGAGATGCTAGAAGCCTTTTAACTCCTTGCCTCCAGGGAGTCTTGAGTCCTAGAGCCCAAACTGCTAAGCAGCAGGGTACACACCACTGGCATATGAGGATGGGGTGGGTTTTTTTTTTTCTTTTTCTTTTTTTTTTTTCTCGTAATAAGGATTTCTGTTAGTTACCATTCCCAATTGCTTCCTTGCTTACGCTGTCATAGTTCCTATCCCTAAATTAATCTCTTTGCAACTCCCAGTGAAATTCACTTTTTTAAAAAAAAAAAAAAGGAAAAAAGAATACTGCTTTATATATAAAAGCCAGAATGACTGAAGAGCCACAACTGTCTCCTTTTTACAAGGCGGGCTGGTACAAATGACCCTCAATATACAGGTGGTCTATCAGAAATAAAAATCAACATTTCCCGTTTTATATATATAGCGCTTGTATCAGACAACAGTACAACGGAACTGGTATTTCTCAGATTATTTAAGAAAAAAAAGAAAACTACATCTCAGTCAAATATCTGCAATAGATCCATTTTTCCCATTTAAGGAGATTTATATATCATATTGTTATATTATCATTTCTTCACCCATTTAAAAGAATGGAAATTGCAACTCTACAGTAGTAATTACAGTCTTAATGATCCAGGAGTTCTGAATGTAAGATGAAGTCCTCTCGAAGCAACTGTTGGTCAGTAGTTGATCCAAAACGCTGGACCACTTTGGCCCTCCGCCCTGCTCCTTTCCCGGTCAGGGCTCTTGTATTTTCATCTCTTTTTATACCTGCATCTGCTCCAGGTATTTGTAAGTGGGGTTCTCGTAGCCGTGGTTTTGCATCTTGCTCAGATGCCGCTCCTCTGGGGTAAGCATCGGGTCAACCTTTGGAAAGACCGGACGGTTACTGGTCAAAGGAGGTACTGGCAGGCCTTACCGCCTAGTAACAAGAGCCGACGTACAAACGCTGGATAAATAATGTGGCAAGCAGTAACCAGGGAAAAAAGGTAAGCTACAAAACGTATTTCACTTAACGGAGTTCCTCGTTCGGGTGCTAATGCCTCCTGCCGGCCCCTGCCTCTTAGGGCAAGGATTTCTCCACAGATCTCTAATACAGTTAGCTAACGTTACAAATTTGGGACCCGCTTCTCTCATTAAAGAGGCCGTTAGAATTTCTCACAAAGGGGAAAAGCAGCTTTCTCTGGACTCCCTTCACTTGTCCTTAGAAACGTGCACGTTGGGAGCAGAAGGAAGAAGGAGGAACCGCTGCCCAGCATTCAGCCGATCGCGCCCGCTTAATAGTTTGTTACGTCAGTCGGGAGGACAAATTGCTATAGATTGGCTGACTTACTCCCCTGCTAAAGATATCGCCTGAAAAGCTCATTTACTGCTAAATCCTATCCTGAGCCAGACAGGGAAGCCTAATTGAATTCCTTGTGATAAGCGAATACAACTGCGAAGTGACAGGTCCCAGCATGGCACGCCGATGACCGATACCTGCATCCTAATAAATAAGCGATGAAGACGTCGGCATCTACAGAGTTAAGTCCCACCTAGCTAGGAGCAGAGCCTTTGACGGCTCGGCAGCTACTGCCATCTTCGCCCCCTCCACACGACATGTGACTCAATGCTGCCTATTTTCGTCCTCGGTTTATGGAGCAGGAGTTGTTTCTCACCTCCACAATTCCATGGCTGATGGTCCCATACTGCCTCTTCCTCAGCATCACCAAGCTGATGACTATAACGGTAGCTATGGCAACAGCAATCACCAACAGCCCAATAAGGGCGCTGCTGCTGAAACTGAAGTCATCGCGAAGGGAGTTGTCGTTATCCTGGAGGGAAGAAAACAATGGAGCGGGTAGAGGAAGAGCGACGCGGGAGACGCGCTGCTAGACGCAAACCTAAAAGGTGGCCGCCGGTAAGGTCTTCAACCCTCTGTGGTATCAAGATGTGACCGATGATGCCAGACGGTGTAAATATTTCACCTCTAAATATTTCACAAAAGGATAACAAACACAAAATCGTTTCCCCGCTTAGGGATTCTGGACAGGCACCGACCCACACCGCCTTCCTACCCCACAAAACACTTTTGCACCTAAAGAGTCAGGTTAGTATCTAACGCGTGTTTGCTGTTTACATCTTTCACTGCAGAAAGGCAGTGCCGCGTTACCCCCTGCATGACCTCCCAAGCGCAGCGTCAAGGCACCAAACCCCAACTTCAGTAACACACAGGAACCGAAATCCAGCTTTAGGAATTTGCCGATCATCGGACTCTGTAGCCACATACGTACCGGCTCCCCCACCCGCACGCCCACACACCCC